AAGAGAATGAAAAAAATGGAGTGAGATGAAAAGAGTGGAAAACCAAGAGAAAAAAACAAAAGGATTCAAAATCATAAAATTTAAATTTATAAAATTACAATTTGACTCCAAATGACTTGAAGGTGACTTAGAAATCGCTTATTAGACCACCGGTGAAAGAATGTTGAAAGTTCGTCTACTTTTGTGATAAAATTAAAGTTTATATACCAAAGTGAAATAATGATGAAAATTCGTATATCATGGGTGAAATTTACCCTATAATCGGTTCTAGATTAATTATCCATTATTTTTTTATGTTTTATCACATTTATGAATCTATCATCAATTCAACACCTCATATTATTTTACATTTTTCTAATTATCCTATCTTCACCCTAAATAATCTCCATTTTTGACTTTTTAGACATATTGTACAAATTTGGACTACAAATTATGAAACAATATATATTTAATTATGATATAAATTTAATATAATTGAATTGATTTTAAAATTTAGTTTTGATATATAAAATTTTTCTCACATATATTAATATATTTATGTTTATAAACGCAAAGATAAAAGATAAATTCAAATAGTGTTATGCTCCAATTGAATGCAATTTGGTAAAAATTAAGTGAATTGGGTAAAATTAAGTAAATTTTATTCAATTGAGTGCAAAAATTATTAATTATTTGAGTCTATTTTATTGAAATTAGATAAAATTAAATTTAATAGAGTCAAATATAACTAATTTTACACCTAAATTTAGTGGTGCACATTAAATTTGAAAATGATCACACTAAACACTGCCGCAATAGAGTCTTTTCAAAATGCTACAACTGACATCTAACGTTATTGATTAATATTGAGTGAATTGGTTTGAAACTAATAAAATTAACTCTCAAACCAATAAAATTTATTGTAATTGAATGAAATTAGGATAAAATCTAGTTTATCCATACAATTCATCATATAGTCCTTTCATCCCAAAAAAATATCACACTTCACTATTTAAAAATTACAAAAATTTTATTTATTTGTGCGTTATCATTGATTATTTGATAAAATAAACTATTATGCGTATTATTCTTGTAACCTCTTATTCTGTAAAACTTTTGACATATTTTTTTATATACGTAAATATTTTTTATTTCTATATCAATCTTTAAATAAAATAAATTTAAAAAACTTGAAATTTTACTTTGGTTTGCGTTATGTAGCATTCTTTCTATGATGGAGGGAGTCTTTTATCAAAATAAGATTATTCTAATTGAATTTTGTAACTTAAAACTGAAACTAATCCCATATTTTTAATATAATATCTAATCAAAGACTTAATTTTGCATGTCTAATCTTTCACCCTAAAGCTCAAAATTTCCCCATTCTTTTTCTTTCCCTCAATCTTATCACTTTTGTTACGCCACCATTCAACTCATTTCTCAATTTACACTCACCTTCAATATAATATGCTTATTGAAAGGCAAACACAACTTATTTTATCAGTTTTAGTTCTAATCGGGTTCGGATATTATCGGTTTCGAATCTAATTGGTTTCGTTTTTTTTCGATTTTGGGTATTATCGATTTCGGTTCTAATCAGTTTTGGATTTAATCGGTTCAAATATGATCGATTTAAGATCAATCGGTTTTGGATTCATATCGGATATGAGTTATTTAGTTCGATTTCAGTTCGATTTGCATCATCTCGAGTTTTCGGTTGTAGATCGGGTCGTTCATTTTTTGGATCAATTTGGTTTTGGATAATTCAGTTCGGATAATCGCTTCTTGATAGGCTTGTCGTAGCACCTCAAAATTAATTTATTATTTTCCTTAACTCTTAACCCCCCCTTTATGATTCAATATTCATTAATATATATATATATATATATATATATATATATATATATATATATATATATATATATATATAGGGTAAATAAGGGTCACTTTATCACTTTTATTGAATAAAAACAACTGACTAAAATCTAAAAACTTAAACTAAAAGATATGGGGGGTTTGAATGATAATTCTAAAAAGTTAAAAATGCAAATAAAATAAAGATAAGGATAACACATAAGAGATGGAACTACAACAGCAACTCAAACTTAGAAAAACACTCACGGAGAAAACAAACTCACAAAAACAATTACACAATAAACTTTATAAAAACGTAGATAATAATAATTAATTTAAACCATTTTGAAAATACTTATAGTTTTAAATGGAAAATAAACTAAACAAATATGATTCCTAAATTTGACTTAATTTAGCTTATGTTAAGACCAACTCTAAATCTACCCTGCTACCCTTAGCAACCCAAAGACCAACCCTTAAGTTACTACTAAGAATAGCGCATTAAGATTTGTTGAAAACATCACCATAACAACTTTGCAGTAACACTACAATTATTTAACAAAATCCGTTCGAGAACCTTGATTAGCAAACACCACTTAACGAGGTGGCCAATTACTAATCAAGTGACACTTAGTTTCTAGAAAAGTTCGGTTATTTAAAGCACTTTGAACTTTAAAAGAATATCATTTTAAACTGGATTAGGCCGTGGTCCTAATTTGGTCCAATTTAAGTAAAATCAGGTTAATAATAGTTCTTAGGGGCTATTTGGCAACTTCTGAATAGGTAAGTGCTGAACCAGTAAGAGGTCTGAACCATTAAGTGCTGAACGAGTAAGAGGTCTGAACCATTAAGAGCTAGTATATTGATTAACTATTCAGAGGCAAATATCTGATCAATTCAGATAAGAGGTCTTAACCATTCAGACTCTGTATAATACTTAACCATTCAGAGACAATTGTCTGAACCATTCAGACATCTGCTCACGAAACAAACAGTCTGAACCATTAAATGCTGAACCATTCAGACATCTGAACCATTAAGAGGCTAAACAAACAGCCCCTTAGAACATCTTTTCGAGTTTAGATTTAACAGTAGCATGAAGCTAAAATCTTTTCAACGTCAAATTAATTCAACAAGAACGACCAAAATCAAAGATTTAACCTTTTTTATCAAACAATTTAGCATAAGAAGGTTTTATAATTTCAGAGACAATAATCCATCAATAAAACAAATCTTAACAAATTCACATCAACACTCAAACTTTCATCATTTATAATATAACTTAAACATTCAATACAAAAATTGGAATTGAAAATAAACATAAACATATTTAATATAGCACCTTGGTTCCCATGACATTGGGAACCAATGTCATGGGAACCTTCCCCTTAATATAGAAATCAAATTTATCAATTCGAAAGTTAACAAACTTGAAATCCTATGGAGAATTAGAAAAAAAATTAAGATTAAGGAAAAAGTTGCTCCCTGGAGTTGTCTTCTTCGTCTGTTTGTTGCACCAGAACCAGCAGCAGTAGCCTTTGTCGTCCCAGATAGTCTGCCACTGCTATTGTCGTCGCTAGACGCCGCGTCAGACAACTCTCTCTGTCCCGTTTCCGTATCTATTTTCTCTCCTCGGCTCCCCTGATTTTTGCCTTCGATATGGATGATGTCGTGGTAACCACCTACGATGTCTCTTCACCACCGTCTTACAATAATTACTCAACCTAATAGCCTTTGTATTTTCAATACAAACAACACATGCATTATAGCCTTTAACGACGTTGCCCGAAAAATTGCCTAAGGCGGGATAATCACTTATTGTCCACAATAAATTTGCCCTCAGCGTGAAGAACTCTTTTTGATATGCATCATAGACTCATTTCCCTTTCCACATCATTTGGAGATCTTCTATAACCATCTGAAGATACACATCAATGTTGTTTCTAGGCTTGTTTAGTCCGGATATCAACAAGCTTAACATGATATACTTTCTCTTCATACAAAGCGAAGGTGGGAAGTTGTAAATAGATATCAAAACTGGCCAACATGAGTACTCTATTGAAACTCCACGAAAGGGATTGAAACCATCAGTTGAGAAAGCTGACCGAAGGTTCTTGGTCTCCAAAGCAAATTCAGGCCACCTTTTGTCGATGTCTTTCCATGTTTTTGAGTTTGCTGGGTGTCTAATCTTGCCATCCTTTGGCCGATTGGTGTCATGCCAAGTTATGTCCTTTGAAATTCCAAGTGTATTGAAGAAATTTCTTATTTTCTTGTGTTTTTCTTACCTGGTAGAGTCCATTTGACCAGGTCAAATGTACACCATCAATCAAAATGCAAACTTTTATTTTGAAAAATAAAAGAATTTCTTATCTTGATACTTTCTAAAAGTTTTGTTCTAATTTAAAGTGATTTTTTTAGAGAATTCTATTTAAATTTAAAATTTATTTTCTTAGGGGGGAACACGCCGGTTTTCTAATTTAATCTTAAAAACAAAATATAAAATAAAAAAATCTAAAATGACAAAGAAAAATGGCCCGAGCCAGGATAATTTGTCCCAAACCCAACGCGGTTAAGTGTAGGGGTGGGTTCGGTTTTGGCGGTTCGGTTTTCACCCAAAACCAAAGACAAAACGGAAGGTAAATTGGCGGTTTGGTTCGGTTTTGCATAAAAAATATGTAAACCGTTGGTTATTCGGTTTGGTTTTATACGGTTTTTATTTCGGTTTTTTTCGGTTTTTTCGGTTTATAAAAGTAGAAATTTATAAGCATTAAAAATAGTAAAAACACTAACTCGATGAAACAATAACAATATGTACTGTTGGCTTTGGTTTTTTTGTTTGATTTTTACACAAAAACAAAAATCAAACGGAAGGTCATTGTTCCTTTCGGTTCAATTTACATAAAAAATATTTGTTGAGTGCCCAACAAACATTTAGAAGATTCCAAATACTTCCAAAGAAATCGTATGTAAAATCAATTACGAAGAATTTAGGTTTTATGTATAATACTTTCATTTTCATTATAACATCAAAGTATTTGTTATGTAAATATGTAAATTACTTGTATCAATTTTTAATGTTAATATAATTCTATTTTAGGATAAGCTATTGGTGTTTATATTCCTAGGTTTTTTCAAAGTTTATAATAATATGGCTTGAATGTTTAATTAATAGTTAAGAAAATAATTTTAATCGACTAGTAATTTATTTGCGTTTATATTTCTATAATAATTTAACATATCACATATATTCATATAAATAAAGCGAATTATCTAATCGGTTTATTCGGTTCGGTTCGGTTTTTAAAAGTAAAAACCAAAACGGAACCAAACACTAATGGTTCGGTTCGGTTTTTTTACATTCAGTTTCGGTTTTTTCGATTCGGTTTTTTTTCTAGCTCGTTTCGATCGATTTCGGTTCGATTTGCGGTTTTCCGTTTTCCAACCAATCCCTAGTTAAGTGGTTAGAACTCGAGATGAAATACAGTCATACTTCATGGATTGAGTACAATCTTCTCTATAGCCGCTGCCACCCAACGTTCAGACGGTTGTTCTTCCTGCTCCAGTGGTTGGTTCATTCACACTCTTTCCAGCTCGAAGATCAAGCTGAATCTGAGATGCTCCCTCGATTACTATGAGTGAGTTTCTCGGACTTTATTATGCGTCTTCTTCTGATTCCGCTTCTTGAAACAAGTCTCAGCCTTGTGCTCGTGATTTTTCTAGGATTTATGGAAAAGCTCTTCTGCCGGCTATAGACCAAATGTCATCCTTTCCTGTTATCTCGAATTTTGGGCTTTCTTCTTTACAAGAAAAGTGGAACTTTCATATTGTAAAGCCAAAATGTTTGGGGAGAAATAGCATTCTATCTTACTCATTATCTAATTTTGGTGCTTCATTTCCTGCCCCTTTCTTAGGGTTGAATTATAGATTCTGTAAATCTCAAAGAAGATCATTTCTTTGTAGCACAGAGATTAGGTCATTACTACATGAGGAGAGAAATTTAGGGAGGACCCATTTAAGGGAACGGAATAGTAATGAAATGAGGAGGAGGTTTTCTTTGAGATTGCGCCCAAGATTGAAATTATTGTCAAGAAAAATAAAAAATTTCTCCATCAGGTCATTCCTGAAAGTTTTTGGGACATTCCTGCGAGGGAATATGAGAATGACACTATTTGTATCTGTTTCTCTCATCCTTGGCATGTGTTTTTTGTTTCTGAGATTGACTGCTATGCCTTCCCCAAAATCCGTTCCATATTCGGACTTGGTAATGGGCCTTCAGGATGGTTCTGTAACTAAAGTTCAATTTGAGGAAGGCACTCGTCGTATATACTACAATACAAAGTCTGAAACTGGAAATGCCAAAAACACCAAAACGACTGAGGATGGGATATTGGTTCCGTCTGGGAGTATAGTTGGTAATGAAGCAAGCAGCGGAATCGTGAGCAGTGATGAATTTGGAAATAATATCCTTCAAAAATTGTCAGGATACAGTAGGTCTGGACCTGTTTGGCAGTTTTCAACTAGAAAAGTTGATCATGATGAAGGTTATCTTCTTAGTTTAATCAGAGAAAAGGGCACATCATATGGTTCAGCCCCTCAATCGGCACTTATTTTAATGAGGAGTTTGTTGATTACCGCCTTGTCTTTATGGATTCCCTTGACTCCTCTGATGTGGCTATTCTACCGTCAAATGTATGCTGCAAACATTCCAGCTAGAAAAAGGAGACCAGCTAACCAGTTAGTGAACTTCAGTGATGTGGAGGGTGTGGATACTGCAAAGGTGGAACTTATGGAAGTAAGTCTCCATGAATTATATCCAAGTCTTTTTGGAGGGTTTAATAAACTCATTTCTGTATTTTTCCTTGTTAAAATAATGGTAAAGTAGACCTAACATGAGGAAAGTGAAGGCCAAATGCCTCACAAGGTGCATGGATGTTGTGCCTGTTAAGTATATCCGGCATTACGAAAATGGTTCTTTTTTCCCGAGACGTCGATATTGATTATTCTGCAAATTTCAACATGTGAACCATTAAACGTTCTTAGCCATTTAACCGTGTACTTGTTGTCAAGATCACTAACTAGTAACCATGCATTCTATTGTCTCTAGATAGTCATGTGCTTGCAAGGATCTATAAACTACAGTAAACTTGGAGCAAAGTTACCTAAGGGGGTGCTACTTGTTGGTCCACCGGGTACAGGGAAAACACTGCTAGCACGGGCAGTGGCTGGAGAAGCAGGAGTGCCCTTCTTTCCTGTTTCTGCCAGTGAGTTTGTAGAACTATTTGTAGGAAGGGGAGCTGCTCGCATAAGGGAGCTGTTTAAAGCTGCAAGGAAGAACTCCCCTTCTATCATATTCATTGATGAACTTGATGCTGTTGGAGGAAAGCGTGGCAGAAGTTTTAATGATGAAAGAGACCAAACATTGAACCAGGTACACAAATTCTCTTATGACGTAATGGTTAGTTTTTGATACCTTATGTGAGTGGCTTTTAAGATAGAAAACCACAATGAATTGCCTGTTTTTTGCTCTTTCAACTGTGAGGCAAAAGCATTATACGAAGTAATTTTTTTATGATGTTAGTACTTTTTGGGTACTAATTAACAATCTTTCCACTTCTCTAGCTACTGACAGAGATGGATGGATTTGAATCCGATGCCAATGTCATTGTTATTGCTGCAACAAATAGGCCAGAAGCTCTAGATGCAGCGATCTGTCGACCTGGACGATTCTCCAGGAAAATATTTGTGGGAGAACCAGATGAAAATGGGAGGAGAAAGATCTTGGCTGTACATTTTAAAGGAGTACCCCTTGAGGAAGATATGGAATTTATATGTGGTTTAGTTGCATCTCTTACCAAAGGCTTAGTAGGTTCTGACCTTGCTAATATTGTCAATGAAGCTGCCTTACTTGCTTCTCGAAGAGGTTAGTTTTATACCCTATACGTGTTTTGTTTGTTCAGAGTTTCTAATTGCTCTAATCTCTACCCTCAATTCTTGTCTTCCATACATGTTCATCATCAATGTTGGTAGTTCTTGGATGTGGCCGGGATTATGAGGGTTCTAGGTGGAATTGTATGGGATCTAAGCACTATAAAACATATCCAGTCAAATATTTAACAAAGTTAGGAAAAGAGTTTAACAACAATGCTCATCATGTAAGCTAACTGCACACAAATACAAAGTACGTATTGTTCTTAGTCCTTTACATTCTCAGAAATGTGTAAGAGTAGATCTGGTGCATCATTTCATTATTACTTTCCCTGAAGGTATACTAAATTTGTGAAATATCTTTCTTGGTCATCAAAATGATTATTGTAATTCCAATCCAATTCGCTTCGCTATGACAGTGCCATATGGTGTACAGAAGTGTATGATATTGGCTTACAAATTCAAGGTCACAGTTCTTGTTCTTTTATCTCTCACAGGGGCTGAATGTGTCTCGAGAGAAGATATACTGGAAGCAGTAGAACGGGCAAAATGTGGAATTGATCACAAGCAATCGCTTTTCGTAGGCAAGGAACTAGGGAAGTTGTTCCCTTGGGTACCTTCTCTAATGAAGAGGAATGATACAAGGCGTGGTGATGGAGGACAAGGGCCTTTAGGATACCAGACACTGAGCTGAGTATTGAGTAAAATGCAATATGTTCTTGTAGCGTTTATGTGACTGTGATCATCAATAGTGTAATATGTACAACGCATCAAGATTGTTGATTACTTCTTTTTTGAATAATTGAATCTTTTTGAATCTTTTATGTGATCCATAACTGCACAAGGATTTGACCATTACATAACATGGTACAGTTGGTTTGCACTTTGCAACAATGCATTTTTTTTTCTGAATCACATTTTTGCAATGTAGTGATGAAAGGATTTATGGGATCTTGATCATCATTTCTGAAACACATCTTCAAATTTTCTTCATCTTGGGGCTAAAAAATGGTTGATAGTAATCTCCTCTTTATCTCTTTCCTGAAAACAGAATAAACACCTAATCATATATGAACTTGACTTGAACAGAAGTGCAAGAATTTGTGTGTTTGTGAAGGAATTGCAGCAATGTACCTCATGAGTTGTCTGTCAAGGGATGAGGCAGATAACATGCCTCTGTTTTCTTCTCCCCTTCTCAGAAGGTATGGCATTATTTCGTCCACGGGACCGAAAGGCAAGTACTTGCTAACTTGAAAACCTGCATTTCTTAAGCTAAATGAAAGTGCATCTGACATTCCATACAGCTGACCAAACTGGATCTTTGGGCTATCCTTTCTGATTCCCAAATTTGTTACCTTCGTTGCAGCTAGTTTCCCTGCCAACAAGAAAGAAAACTTCCCACTCAAACCTCATTGACCAACTGAATGCATACAAAATACAGGAGAATTCAAGAAAAATATAACCCCTCTACCTGATTCAACATTATGGGTGGCCAGAACAACTGCTCCAGAGCCATTTGCAATTTCGTCAAGCATGAAAGACGCGCAATCATTAAAACAGGCATGGGTTTGGTGAATGTTGTTGTGGATCGGAGACTCGACACCTAGAGAAGAAGCCAGTCTTCTTTCACTTGACAAGTAAGCTCCTCTCACCAGTTTGAACCCCATAGGAATCCCCATTTTCTCGGCAGCCTTCTTTGTACCCACCAGCCTGTCCTTTGCGTCTTTCAGATAGGCCTGAACCGTTCCGAAAACCAGAGGCTCGTCGTCCTTATAATACGAAACGGATGCAGTGTAAGCCAGATAATCAATGGCAGGCTGCAACATTGTGTCCTCTGCATCTATCAACACTGGGAGACCAACCTCCAAGCATTTTTCACAAATCCTCTGCAGCCTCTGATGCCCCAGTTCAAGATCATGCTCTTCCTCCTGGCTCAACTGCTCTGGCTCCCTTGTTGTGTGATAGAGTGGGCTGGACTCCGAGAAAATTGGAAGTGCTTTTTGCTTCCATGGGAGATGGAAAGATGGGTTCTTATATTCCCACCTCAGCAAATCACTCACTCTTTTAATTAACCTTGGGGGGCAAATTGCAGTTATCTTCACCACTATGAAACTTACCTGTAACATTTTTTAGGATCACATTATTGAAAAGAGATCGAATAAGTAGAGTGAATTTCATAAATGGTCTCGTATACTTATTGATGAAGAAGACTTACAGAAGAAGAGGGGTGGGAGTTGACCGAATCAGCAGTGTCAAGAATGACTTTCAAGCTGAGATCACACGACTTGTTATCCGTCGCATGCTCCAGACCGTAGTCCAACATTGCCTTGAGACCGGAGTCCGACAACCTGGAAACGGTCCGACCCACTTCCACCAAATCCCTACCCCCACAGAAATGGTCGTAGAACAAGTGCCTGACGACCCCGAGGATGCTCTCGCGCACCACCGGAACTTCCATCGCTCTCGAATTCATCACCCAATTCCCCACGTCCACCAGCGTCTCCACCGCTGCCATGTGCAGCGTCGCAGAGGATTTCACCAATTTCAGCGTCGGCACGGAGGAGAAAATCTCCCTGACGTCGTCCAAGTTCCGGGAGATGTCAGACGGAGGGGCGGCGGCGGCGGAGATGGATGAGGGAGCTGAGTTCAGGCGGCGCAGGGTGTAGCTGGAGAGGAGGTTCTTGATTATGAGGTGGCGCTGGCGCGTGGCCATGTCGTCAACGGAATGCTGACCCCGGTGTATATATGGGGGATCCTACTCCTTGCGTAAATAGCGCGTGAAATGTGGTTGGGGAATCGGGAATAATGAGTGTGGCTGTGATTCCACGATGTTCAACAAACTCCGGGTATTTATAACAACTTTTTGTTGTCCAAAGATTCAACACCTACCGTTCAATGAAAGATTTGAACCGTCTTATGTGGTGCTGAGCAGTGTTCCAGTCAGCCTGGATTGGGCTTTGCGGTCGTCACCCCCAAAGGCGCCAGGTTCCACTTGTCCCTAGTCAAACCCCACCTGAGTATTTTCCAAACTTCTAGTAACATCTTTGTTTTAAAATCTCCTATCTTGTTTGAAATTTTTCTTTTGATTATTCCTTTTTAACGCTTCCTCTCTTTCTTAAAATGATTTTAGTAAAATTTGCACTAAATAGGATTAAAACATAATGACTTTTCTAATATAGGGTTTAAACTTTTTTATTCCCTAAATAGAACTTATTAATGTCTTGGTGGGAGGAATAATGTCCATGAATAATGACTAATTCATAATGACCAAAAATCCTACATTAGGAAATAAAAACATATAGTCCTATATTGGGAAAGTTATTATGTTTTAGTGTCCTATTTAAGTAAATTACTCATGATTTTATTTACTATTCGAAAATTGTAAGAACTTTTTTTTGTATATTTTTATTGACTACGGAGTATTTTATAAAATAAAATATTCTAGTAATCTGTTGTTTTACAGAACTTTTAATTACTTTTTAAATATGTAAGTTTTATTCCTTATTTATATACCGATCTTTAAATAAGACGAATTGAAAAAAACTTAAAATTTTACTTTGTTTTGCGTGAAGTATAAATGATTTAGAGACATAGAGAGTTTAATTTTTGACTATCAATATCTGTATTTTTTTAATAGATCTACGGAGTGTAAAATAGATATATAATTTCTCAAAATTATATTTCAAAATTAATTTATTGATATTAAATTTAAATCATAATTCAATATTTTTTCCCCGTAATCTCTAATTAAAATTTATAAAAAAAATTGACAAGGTTGGGTGTAGTGGGCTTCATGTACCACTACAGTGCCCCTTCGGCGTTGATTAATGCCCTCCCTTTCAGCGCTATCAGCGAAAAAAAAACCGCCAATTCCGATTCAGTCGCCTCATAGCACGGTTACCGCTACCGGTTGTCACGGTGCCGTTGCTGATTTTGGGCCGGTTTCGGCAGTTCACTTTTTTTTCTTAGTTGTAAATCTATAAGTGTAAAATAAATTAAATGTCCTTATGAATTTTAATTTCTAAGAATGTAATTGTTATTTAAATAATAAAAAATAAATAGTATAAAGACAACTACATTTAATATTCTGATGGTTCAAAAAAAGCGACGAGGTAAAGAACGGTAAAGAAATCCTCGAATGAGCTTACAAATCGCTCACCTAAAAAACACTAATTAGAATATAAAATAAAAATACAAATTTATTTCTTGGAACTATCACTTCCTTCTGTGGTTGCATCCATGTAATTTTGTGTATCAATATCGTACCCTGACTCTTGAGCTCGACGTCTTGCCAAGAGCGAATCTCAGTTGCAAACAAGTGTCTCAAGCGATTCAGCGTAAGAGAACTTCGATAGTCGGTTAGAATGTTACCGCTAGAACTGAACACTTGTTCCACAGCTACAGCTGAAATCGGCATGGATAAGACTTGTCTGGCTAGCATTCTGAGAAACGGGAACATGTGTTCATTCCGTTTCCACCATTCTAGGATGTCAGACTCGCTATCGTTGTCTTCATCATATTCACACTTAAACCACCTGAACTCATTGAGGCAGAACTACACTAAACTTTTTTCGCCAAGAGGCCACCGACTATCCCTTTAAAACCTTTTTTGTCTTGGGAGGCGAGAGGAGCTCTTGTTTCTTCTAGTGCATTACCGTACAAAACTTGAAATTTTTTAAGTAATGACTCAAAAAGATCGATACGTTATCTATATCTTTTGTCCATTCTACTAAATGGTCATAGAAATAAATATTTTCAACTAAAATCAATTGTAGTAATACTCCATGAGAATTTTAAAATAATCAATTTTAAGTCGTGGATCACAAATAATACCAATTTTATGAATATGAGGAATATACAAGTAATAAGCACACCATTTATCTTTCAGATAAACCTTCACGAAAACATGTTGCAATTGTAATATACTGAGACAAAAAATGTGTTTGTCGTAGGTTTGTAAACATTCGAGAAAGTAAGAGTTGCATTATAAAAAACTCCTTACATGGTGTTCAATTGTTCAAAAAGAATAAAATCATTCAAATTAACCATATGATTAAGTTCATACTTGAAAATTGAAGCAAGTTCCTCTTTATACGGCAAGACCTTGTCAATAAACTTATATGTACTATTCTACCAAATCATAATGTCCTTAACAAGTGTTATTGGTTTTTTATTCCTAGATTTAGGATAAACCTTCAATGCATGAGTAACATTACGACTAGCCCAAATATTTTTTGTTATTGGTTTTTGAATTCTTGATCACTCATAGCATCGCCCATGAATTGTTCAGGGATTGTAGGAAAAGAAGAGACAGTGTCTCCCATGAGAAGCATGTGAGCTCGAAACTTCGGAGGTGGCGTGGGCTTTGCCTTTGTTAAAACCTCCACGGTTTATAACGCCCATATCTACAGACTTTCTACCAAACTACCTCGACATTTTAATATATTTCTTGTATTGATAAAATTAAGACAAATAGACAATATATTATTAGGATATTATAAAATTATAAATTTATAATTTTATAATTGTAATATATTTCAAATATATTATAATATAAATATATAGTATATTTGTAATATATGATTATAGTATATAAAAATAAAAAAATATATAAATATGATTATATTGAGAATTGAGAAGAATTAGAGATTTAGAGAGAGATTGAGAGAATATGATTTGTGAATATTTAAAAAAAATTAGGGGTATATATAGGTAATTAAACCCCCGCACCCCCACTCCCAACAGCTTTATAGCCGTTACCCAAGTCCCAACGTTTGGCCAGGAAAAAGAAAAAAAATTGAATCGAAACCGGTACATACGGTTCCGATACCTAAAAATTTGACCCAGAACTCGACCGGTGTCCACCAAACCCATGTGTGATTTCCGTAACCGGCTCCTTGTATTCGTCTCCGATCCAGTGGTGGAACCGCTGATTCCGGCGCCTGTGGCGGTTTCGTACCGGGACCTATCTACCCTACTCTCACATCTAATTACAAAGTTCTTAATAATATATTTTTTTACTCCGTAAAAATTATGTAATTATGAAAGTGGCTTTTTGAGACTTTATGCATTTTACTATCTTCGTCCTTAAAAAATTGTCATAGTTTGACTTTTTTAGTAAAACGGTGACATCCTGTGACTGTGAATTATGGAAAAATTATATTTAGTTACTCCCTCCGTCCTAAAACTTTTTCCCAGAGCACTATTCCAACTTCACAGGAATTTATATTTATTTGTGTTTTTTCATGGCCTATATGATAAAATAAAATATTCTTGTCACCACTTGTTTTGTTGAACTTTTGATGTAGTTTTTAAATATGTATGTTTTATTTTTTATTTCTATACCAATATTTAAATAAAATAGATTGAAAAAACTTGGGATTTTTCTTCATTTTGCGCAACGGGAAGAAAGTTTTAGGACGGAGGGAGTATAATGTAAATTTACTAAACTAAGATTTATTTCAATATATAGTTTTAAAATATCAAATTTTTAGAATATTT